ACATCTGCCATGTTATAAATTTGTTTTCCTTACTTAAATGTTAAAGTACAAAGTATTAAAAATATTCAGATATTAAAAGTACTCATTAATCTATATAAAAAATATTACTCAACATGTCTTGTATGTAATACTTAAAACAAATTTCAAATTCTCATAACTAGTTACAAATATCATCAGCAACTAGTAATCAAGTAATTGAAAAACAAACTTACTTATAACTGTTAAAAACTTGGAAAACTTTTGTTTTTTGCATAAAAAATTTAAATCTCTTCAACGTATTTTTTAATAATATTTACTGTATACTTTATAACATATATGCAAAATCTTATATTTTTATAATACTTAATAACATTGTTCATACACATTTATACTATATTGAGATTTTTCAATATCAATATTTGAATAACTTTTTGACTAGAATATCAGTAATATAGAACATTAAAAACAGTATATTAGAAAAAATAAGATGATATATACAAGATGAATGTATAAACATATAAATAAATAAAACAAAAGGAAATAAATGAAATTTGAAAAGGAATGTTAATACACCTATGGTCGAAAATGGAGTAGATGAAATAGAGGCAATGTAATGAACGTGATCGGAACGCCAACACCACTACTCGACATATAACGCACAGTCTGTACAATTTCCCGCGTTTACAAACGATCAACATATCAAAACTTTAAGATATCATCGATTGCTTGGTACAAAAAAATAATAAAGAGATTTTGATGAATATCATCGATATATCATTATAGACATTTTATACCTACTCCTTAATTTGAAATATGCAATAAAGAAATGACTCCATTATCGAACAATGCACTTTAAACTAAAAGAATTGAATTATTATAATAAAAAATAGTTTGAAAATAATGCATTCACAGTAATGAATACGCAACATGGAAATTTTGCTCGAAAGGAAATGTAATTGGTATTTTTTGCATATAGCTTGCCGGCCGGCAATAGACTTGCATCCATATTTCTTGAAGGATGCAATGCACTTTTACACTCACGATAACATCACACCCGCTGTTCTAACTAACCGATTTCTGCTTGTGTTTATTAAAGGATTATTAAAGGAGCACACTACATAGAAATAATTCACGATATTCATAGGAAGAATAATTGCATATACCTTGGAAAGTAAATGAACAAAATCCTCCTGTGAGGAAATGGCGATAGACGTCAACGTGATTGCAGACTACGGGGTTCACAAAACGACGCGCAAAGATACGCTCGAACCCAGCGACACGAGTTAGCCATTTTCTTTCGAAGCATATTCGCGAATTCTGATTGGTTCATGCAAAAGGTTGAGAAGAAAAAGTTGACCATGCAATATGCACTCATGAAATAACGAATTTCGTACTTGAAATCTGCATGCACAATATATTATGTACGTATCATTCTTCCACGGGGAAATTTCAATTACTAGCTAATTTTATTCGTTTCAAATTATTTTTAATAGATAAGAGATAGATATGTACATATATATAAAGAGAGATAGGTCTACTTACGTACATATGTATACGCATAAAATATTTTAAGACTAACTGACAATGATTTACATATGCTAGAAGTTCTACTTGCTTCACACAATTTTTATATCGTACAACCAACCTTATCTTTTACTTTTATTCAATAATGAAGAATTTAAGCGTAAAATTTCACTACTTCAATCTACTACTACGTAAATCGTATCATTTTCGTTATTATCAAAATAGTAAACTCTACTTATTTAATAAAAACAATCATTACAAATGGTTTTGCGGAATATAATCTAAAAATTCGCATAATTTCAATTCACATATTTCATACATTATTTATTTGAAATAATGTTAAAATAAAAAATAAAGTTAAAAAATTAAATAAACCCCAAGACTAATGATAACAAAATTCGATACCATTCTTGAAAAAAAAGAATATGTACGTAATTGTATGTAAAGTATAACGTATATCTTTAGTCTTAATCTCTACTTGATATTAATGTAAATGTAGTAATACAATCTATAAAATACGTAAAAATATTAGTTATTTATTTAGATAAAATGGAAAAGAGATCAGAATTTATAAGAATATTAAGCGAATCAGGATTAAATGTGCCATAACCTCCGAACATAATAATACAATATAAAAGTATACCTGTACAAAATTTGAAATCTTCACAGTATTAATTTTGAACAAATTATAAAACGAAGCACCAGATACCACACAAAACAGTCACAAGCTTTTAATTGATAGAAAATTCATATTACAGAGACCACCACCGTTACACGAATACAAACTTGCATATACTTCTGCTCACTTTTACGTTGTATGTAAACCGTGTAACCGTGTGTATTAAAAATTGCATTTAACACTTGATAGTATTGGATGAAAAGTAATGCAGTAAATTTAGTCTTGTAGGCACTTGGAAAGCTCCGATAATATTGCAGTGATGGTGACGGTAAGTGAAGTAAGCCCGGGCGCAGCGTTTTGATATCATGTAGTGCCTACATAGCCGTAATGCATAAATTGGACTGCCTCGCTGAAAGAGAGGTGCAAGCCCTACAAAACCAAACCAGTTTCCTCGGTTGCTTGCTTGCTTGCTTGCTTGCTTGCTAGTTGCGCCCCAATCCAATCCGATTCAACCGCTTACCTCTCTTCGCGGTATATGCGAGCCCCGCCTTAGTCAGGCTCGTCGCTATTCTCCTGTATCCCTGTACCATTCCTTCCAATTTTCTTTCTCTTTTTTTCTCTTTTCATCTCTTTTCTTTTTTTTTCTTTCTGTTCCTTTCCTCTTCACTCCTCTCCTCTTCACGTCCTTTTTTCCTTTCGTTTTCATAAAACATTTCTGCAATTTTTCACTAATTCATCTTCAAGCACAGTCATTTTCGTTGCAATCCATGTATTTCCTGTCATTCCTTTTCTTATCTTTTATTGCAATTTTATACGTACATCGTTACGCACATTTATATACATACTCAAGATTAAACTGTGATGCAACAATCCAAAAATATATAGTTTACTATTTAAAATATACTACATATAAATGCAATAATAGTAACCTATTAATTCGTCTAGAAATATAAACGTTGATTACGAGACATTCTAAATGTCAAAGAATAATATATTTAAAAAATTCTTTTATTTAGAACTTAAAAAAGAATACATTTGAAAATGGGTAAATACATTCTACAAATAAAGCTAGGCAGATATTGTGCACATACAGTATACTGTATATGTCTGTATAAAATTTATAAGACTTACTTATACTTACATACATATATATATATATATATATATACACACATATCATCCTAATATAATAGTATAATATTATATTACAATATTCACAAATTCCCAGTATATAAGTAGATCTTATTTGCGAGCGCGCAATTTCAATAACTCGAAAGAAGAAATCGTAAAAAATCTAAAACTTTCTATTATGTTTTTATATTTATGTGGAAAATTGTTCATTTCTACCATCGTTAAATGTTCCGTGAATGATTAAATAAAAGTTAGCCAATATTCTGAACGATTTTGTTAAACGTGAGAAATAACGTTCAAGATAAGAGAACGCATTACAGACAAGGAGATACGGTCCTGAATTCAACCGTAAACCGCCTGTCTGGTTGAGCACGCACCCGCGTCCCTCAAAGGAGAAGAAGTAACAAAGACAGATGGTGCTCGTATGTTGGCTCGCAGAAACCTGTTCCTTCAGAACTTTTCCGTTTTCTTAATTTTTGTTCGTTCAAATTCCGTCTGCGTCGAAAAATAGTTTTATTTCTGATCATAATCGATAACTGCCAATCCATAGAGTATTCTTAAACAACAATCATTTCGCTTACCGTACTATTACTCATATTTCTTTTTTCGCTTTGTTTCCTCTCTCTCTTTCACCTCCTCTTTTTCTATCTCTCATTACTTAGCTGTCTGCACTCTCCACAGACAATGCATTTTTTGCTCGACTCCAGACCCATTGTCGTGGGAGGTTGGAATTTTAACGTAGAAAAATTTGTACAAATAAATATATGTACATTTACTCAAAATCTAAAGCAAACTTGATACTTTTGGCATTAACACGCCTTGAACAGCCAATATTATGTGTAACATATATTGTAAAGGAGAATATCGCAGCTCACATCAATTACATTCCTGATCAATAAAAAATTTAACGAGTTATTATAAATCAAATTAATATTATTATTAACAATTTTTCTCCAATATTTTTTACATTTATTTGTTAAAAAACATGAAGTTTGAAAAGCCATTCGGCGAGAAATGTTTAATATTACTTTAGAAAACTATTTCCCACGTTAACGAATCGAAAACCTTGAACTGCGTGCAGACATCGCAGAAATTTTCTCAGGAACCAGTACAGTCGTATTAAAGCATGAGGCGGACCCCCAGCAAGTTGTCTCTTCAAAATACTTGTTTAGCTATGAGAAATTCTCCTTTTTTCGCATCCCAAATAAATAGGGATGAACCTGCATTGGAATAATGGCATAGCAAGCAGAGTACTTACTCCATACTCTGGAGAGTCAAACCCTTAGAGGGGTCGTTGGACCAAGATGCTATACAAATTATCATAATAAAAAAATATTTAAATGTAATCTTATACTAAGCTTTAGTTTATCTTTTCTGCCCCTTTTCTTTCCTTTCCTTGTTTTCTTTTCTCTCAAATTGTTTTAAAATATTTTTTATCATGTTATAAATAGCTTACGTTTTGCGCTTTTTTATCGTAAGGATACAAATTACGTTCATAATGAGTTAGTAAAAAATTATTTAAAACTAAAACTATTAACAAATCTACTAAAGGTGATACACTCCAATAAACATTAATTATTATACGCTGATTTTTTATACTTATTGTTAGAGTGATTTCAAATAATGGCGGTTGGATCATCTGAAAGATGATTTAAACAACGAAAGTTAACTCTAATTTGGTATAGAAGCGATGACGTCAGAACTCAGGCATTATGTAGTAGCATAGCTTTCCTATGAAGCATGCTCTCTACTGAGTTGGGTATATTTATGCTTGTCTCAATCCTCAATGTAGTTTCGTGTAGGATGTGAATGAACGTTGTTTATACGTGAAAGAACCTACGTGGTTTTTACTATTCTAATTGCATTCTACTATTTTCCATTTTACAATGAACCAATATAGTACAATATCGTTATAGAAACCCTAACATACATATCTATTAGAAGATGGAAATTATCAGTTTGAAAATATATACGACAGTGATCGTAAGCTTTTATTGTTTGGGCGTTGTCGGACAATATGAATGGCAAGCCAGAGATGCATTTAACGAAATTCGTTTAAAAATGGACAAGATCAACGAAGAAAATTGCCCTATTCAACATCTCGGAGATCTCTATCTACCGGAAGACGCAGTCTCTCATTTACCTGACATCAAAGATATCAATATTAATCCTGTGTTTCCAAATAGAACTGCTTTATTACATCTTCATAACATGGCTCTTAGTAGATCATTTTTTTGGAGTTATATTTTACAATCCAGATTCATACGACCTGCTATCAATGATACATATGATCCAGGCATGATGTATTATTTCTTATCAACAGTCGCTGATGTTTCTGCAAATCCACATATAAATGCTTCTGCTATATATTTTTCACCAAATATGTCTTATTCGCCATCGTATCGAGGCTTTTTTAACAAAACTATGCCTAGATTTGCTCCACGAACGTTTAGAGCTGATGATTTTAACGATCCTATACATTTAGAAAGAATGTCCACAAGAAATACATTTAACGTACAAGATCTTGGTGCATTTGCCAGTGGTAGCCTTAGCGAAGATTATACAACAGATTATTACCGTATAAATGAATGGTAAACAGAAACTTGATTAATATTTGTATATGCTTTATAATTAATTATACATTATTCTATATTGTCAACTTTATTCATCTAGGTACAAGAAGTGGTTACCAGATAATGTTGACAAAAGGCACGATACTAAAACTACTTATCAAGTTGAAATTAGATATGCTAACAACACTAATGAAACATTTACATTTCATGGACCGCGCGGTACTATTATAAAAATTAATGGATTAAGACAAACGAAACTATATTATGTTAATTTTTTTCTTTCTTCATTTTATATAGGTGCGGATGAATATCCTGGGCCAGTAAGATGGACCAGACCATATTACGATTGTGGAAGATCAAATCGATGGCTCGTAGCAGCAGTTGTACCTATCGCAGATATTTATCCAAGACATACAGGATTCAGACATATCGAATATCCAACGTATATATTTGTATATTGTCTGAATTGGACCAATTTGTTTCAACTCTATTTTAAACTACTTACCTTTGTTTCAGCTATACTGCCATATCAGTAATTGAAATGGATTTCGAACGAATAGATATAAATCAGTGCCCAAAGGGAAAAGGAAATAGTGGTCCAAATAAATTTGCAGATACTGCTAGATGTAAAACAGAAACTACTGAGGTACTAAACATAAAGAAACTACTGTATATTTAATATTGATCAAAAAACTTGTTTCTTCTCTAATCTAACTTGTATATCTTTATGTAGTGTGAACCATTACATGGCTGGGGTTTTCGAAGAGGAGGATATCAATGTAGATGTAAACCAGGTTTCAGATTGCCAAATGTAGTACGACGTCCATATTTAGGTGAAATTATAGAAAGAGCAACTCAAGAACAATATTATAATGGATTCGATTGCTCCCGAATAGGATGTAAGCTTCAGTGGTTTTACCATCTTTACTTCATTCTCTTTCCTCATTATATTCTATATTGTTCATAATATCATACCTTTTTAACTCATAGGGATTCATAAGATGCCTGTACAATGGGAGAAGGCAAAACCAGATGTTAGAGAAAAATATCTTGAGCAGTTTTATCATTACAGAAATTATTCCATTGGACCAGAAGCATTAAGATCCGAACAAATTAATATCGACCAAACTCTTAAATTTATTTTAAGTATCAATTCAAAAACTTGCAAGAGGTCTGCTAAGAAATCTTTATATTCTTACGCTTTTGTTCCTTTTTTTTTTAAAGTAATCTTGTAAGTAAAACGATAAAAATTATCTTGTCTATATCATTTCAAATTACAGTTACACAGAAGAAGATTTAACGTTACTTGGAGATATAGCCTTTGGAGCCAAAGAATTTTTTGAAAATGAAGCAAAAATGGCAACTAGATTAGCAAACTTTATTAGTGCATTCCTACAAACTTCTGATTCTCATGAAGTTTATTCAGGTAAAAGAGTAGCAGATAGGCCACTTACTGAAGATCAAATGATTGGGGAGACATTAGCTTTAGTTCTTGGAGACACTAAAATATATTCTGCTGAAATGTTATGGGACCGTAATAAATTCACAAATAGAACCTTCTTTGCTCCATATGCTTATAAAACTGAATTAAATACTCGAAAATTTAAAGTTGAAGATTTAGCCAGACTCGATGATCCAGGTAAAATTGGAATTGAGTTGAACAATATCATTGCTATTAAAATATGATTATTCTAAAGATATCTTTTTATGTTATAGGTAATGTTTATACAAAAAAGAATTATTTTAAATTGCTAAAACAACGATGGGCAACAAATTTCGATGAATTGGAAAAGTATTACATGAAGATAAAGATTAGATACAATGAAACTGGCGAATACCTTAAAAAGTATGAGCATTATCCCAATTCTTACAGGTAATTATTATTAAAAAAAGAAATTAGATCATTTAGATCTAATGAGATCACATATGAGAATACTCTACTCATAGTATTAAAAATGAAGAAAAATCGATCTCGTAAATAAAATTGATTTTAATGTCTGGGAATACATATTCGTTTGTATAGGGCAGCAAACCTGAATCACGGACATTGGACAACTCCGTACTTCGATTGCAACGGCAAAGTAAAGAAATGGGTAATTACCTATGCATCCCCATTTTTTGGCCTGGACAGCTTGAAAAAGAAACTGGAATTCAAGTAAGTATATTTCTATCCACATGGACAACCAAGAAAGGTATAGTATATGCATGAGAAATCGAATGTGAGATAGTCCAGAAGGATAGAAAACCTGTTTGGGTTCAAAGAGAGAAGATCAAAAAAGAAAGATCATACATTTTATATTAAAATCTTTACAGAGGTATTGTGGCTGTTACCATGGATCTACTTCAACTTGATATCAATCAATGTGACGATGTATTTCACGCTCCAAATGCGTTTAAGGGTACACACAAGTGTGATAAGAAAACTTCATACGTAAGAGATACTATTTACTCTTAAATTAAATATTTATTTAATATTCCCACAATATCGTATGTGTATGTGTGCAGGCGTATGTATATATATTTATCATTGTGTTAATATATGTGTATATAGTGCGTGCCAATTCTTGGGAGAGGCTTTGAAACAGGCGGATACAAATGTGAATGTAAGCAAGGTTTTGAATATCCATTCGAAGACTTAATCACATACTATGATGGCCAATTAGTAGAAGCTGAATTTAATAATTTAGTTAACGATGAAAAAACTAGGTAATTGACATTATATGAATCGATATAATTATAATTTTAATATATGATTGTTTGTAACATAACTGATGTCTTAACATAAACATTTATTTCGCAGATACGATATGTTCAAATGTCGATTAGCTGCTGCCACGTCGATTCAAGTCAATTGGATATTATTATTGGTATCGATAATATTGTATCATTTTATAGGAGATAATTACTCGTAGTAATCTCGCAATAATGCGACGCTCTATTATATTAATCATCAAGATATGATTTTAAGAATATAATCCGTCCACTAATGTAGAATGACATCCGTCCATTCGGATAGTACAATCGGGCAAGGGGTGACGAATTTTCAAATTCAATTTTCTTAAAAACGAAATTTCAAACGAAAAAGATTTTCTTTTTCAACATATTTTTCCTTATACAATCTATATACTTCCTGCCTGTTTATATTACCCGACCTAAAACACTCTGTATAATATCGATTATTGTACTGTTGTACTACCTTTTTGAGAGCACTTTTGCTTGTTTTGTTGTTATAGTTATAATTATTAATTCGCAGAATATTGGTAATGAAATGAAACTCTGTGAAGTTTTCAACAAATGATTCTATTAGAAAAAAAGTTAACAAAAATACTTTTGGAAATTGTTATTCTTATAAATTGTTCATTTTTAAATTATACTCTTGGTATTACTGTATACTACAGCTTATGCTATATTGAAATTAATCATTTAAACTATATTTTATTGTATGTACATGTTAGTACTTTGGAAAACATAACTTATGATACACATTTATTATTGTTATAATATAATGTCATTTTTAATCATTTTGTATTTTTTATACTATAACAATGTATTGTAAATATAATTAAATCAGCTTATTTTACATATTTTGTACCCAATTACTTTACCTTACTTCTTGTAAGTATTTCAACACTTAATTTTATTTTAACTTTTTTACTACTTCAGCAAAGTAACAAGCTAAGTTTAATTTTGTGAATTTTAACTTTATCATTAAGCTTTAATATAACAAAGTTAATCAAATTACTTCCCTTGACGCTAATCTGACTGACAGTTATACATTTAAAATAGTAAAAAAAAATCAAAATAAAATTGAGATGTTAAGGAAACAGATAATATTAAAATAACAAATTAATAACGTAGTTAACATTGTAACACTATTTAATATTTTATTTACATGTATCTATTAATATTTAATTTACATTTGCAACTGTCTAATTTATTATAAAAACTGTTATTTTTATTGTTTGATATTTCATTTATATTTGAAAATTATATATTATTATATTTACATATGCTTGGAATTTTAGTGGGAACAAACAGTTACCAACAATGTTAATTTAGAACAAACGCTAATGATATCCATTCAAAAAAATAAATTAAACAATTGCAAACATTTGTCTTATCGCTTGTTATTCCTTTTTATTTATATAATGATATTTAATAAATCTAACGCTTTGAGTAAGTTGTGCACCTTCGTTCACAAAATGACAGGCAAAAAGAAGTAAGTTGCGTGGTTCAACCTTCAATGCAAAGCGCATAAACATTGCTGAATACAAACATAAGGCTGAAAAAGATTAATATAATATCTTATAAACTTTAATGCGTCTTTGTAGTTTCGAAATGTTCAATAATACATGTATAGATATAATTCATAGATTTAATATATCACAGTTTTGATATATTTTATTCTGATATTTTTAAATAATATGCAAATACTCTGAATTTATCTGAGTATTGTAAAAAGCACATACATATATACATATATTATTATATTTATATACATCCATAAATACATTAGAAATTCAATTTTTCTATAGAAATCCTACTTTATATAAAGAATAACTAATATATTATAGTAAAACTATGTTATAGCAAGTGCATAGAGGAAAATTATGAGTATTATATCTTGATATATAGAAATCTTACTCTTTTTGTATAAATACAACATAATTTTACCCATTTTCACATTTGCACTTGATAAATTTTAATAGATAACTAACATGTATGAGAAACAAATAAAATAGACGAACTAACCAAGTGTCATCTTTCCACTGATAAATTTCGGATCCCTTTGTATATCAGCGATCGCTGCGATAGGAATACCCCAATTAGCTATAGGTCCCCAAAAATGTGTACTAAAACAAAGGAATACATTGAAATTACTTAATCAATTTAACATTATTCTAAATTAAATATGAAGTAACAGAATTTACACGTGCATACACTCATATGTATGTACATTCAAATTCCATATTATTTACCTCATTAAATAATCTCGAGTTTCTTTACTCGATAGCAATTTCTTTACACGATTCATCTTGTCACGTTCTTCTCTTTCTTTCTCCTGTCTTTTCTAGTAAATTGATTTTCTTTCAAACAAAACCAACCGAAGGCGTTACATAGATTCGAGTAAAACAACTTCGAAAGAATAATGGATATCAGTATCAGTCTAGTTATATAAACGATTAGCATAATGGATTTGGACATTAACCGAAAACTATTTCATAAGAGCTTTGAGTCGATAAAATTTGACCGTATATGTACGTAATCTCAATGTTAAAGAAAATATCTTTCTTTGTTCAGAAACATTTTTTTATTTTTGCTTTAACCACTAAATAGTCAATAATATGATGCATAAAATATAACATAAACAATTTTATAACTAATGTATTGACTTCTTTAGTTGTTGAAGATATACATATGTGATTTCCCTCATTTAAATACTTCATACTCAATAAAATTTCGTAATTCGACTTCGTAATTCCATGATACTGAAAATATCTTAATTTTACACGCGAATTAACAGGAATTGATCCATAATTAGGATGTGAGAAATAATTTCAAACAATTAAGCATTAAACGTATTTTTAATTTAGAATAATTATTCAAAAAATATATACAAAGTTTATAATATATTATACTACCTTACAAAACTAATTTGTTTCTCCTCTTTTCATGATATAATTACAAAGCAAAAAAGGATGATACAAAATGTACAACTATAATTCAGAAACGCTTGCCTATAATATGCAAATTAACAGATCTATATATCATATTGTAATTGCAATAGATATAATTTATGAAACAAATCTGTAATGCGAAACCATGAACTTTCAATGACACTACAATTTGTTAGATGAGTCAAGCTTGCTTTAGCATATAATTTAATATGAAACCAATGGGTATTATTTTATAGCTGGATAACATACAGAAGTAAAGTATTATATACATATATATTTCATAATATAAGAATATTTTTTGATACATAATAAGAGGTACTTGTCGCTCATTATATGTTTAAGTTTAACATGTTGACTGCTACATGTTCATAAAATACAAACACTTACTTTTACCTTTCATATACATGTCTCTATTGGTGCTTTGAAAAAATATTGCTACTACAATAATAATTTTTAAGAACTATCATTTGTGTTAGATACATAATGTTTCTGTATAAACAATTACATGTATAATAACAATTTCCATATTAAATTGCAATATTTACTTATAGTACACAGACCATCTTTACTTTACTTTACTTCTTTTCTGTGAATAGTTACTGGTATCATCGAATCATCAAATCAGGTAAACGTTAAAAAAAAACAATCTATGTTAAATTGGTGCGATGAGCATCGTGTTAAAGGAATAATTTTAATAAATATCGATTGTTGTGTATGAATAATAAAAGTAGGTTATCATTTCATTTCAACTATTCTATGATGCAATGTATAATGAATAGTGAATAGTATTCAGAAAAATATATGCAAATGTATTTTAACAATCGAGCAACGAATACCCACGACGAACACGACGTTTTTTCATATATCTATTTTGTATATCATTTCTTAATTGATCGTTTCTAGTTTATAATAAAAGATACGTTAATGCTTTGTTCTCAAATGTTCGTATTAATTGTAAGATCGCATTTGTTGAACTGTATGAAACTACATATAAATGTCACTGTTTCGCATGTATCTATTTCGTATAAACTAAAGATATAGATGTAAAAGTATGTATACAAAAAGTAAAATTAGCAATTGTTGACTGGGAACTAGGGTTACTTTTATGACAATAAGAGTAAATCCCTTTGGTATTCATTATTCGTTATTTGTGAAATGTGATGTAATACAATACTCGATTCTTTTCACCAACCAGCGACTTTATATTTGTATGTATGCATATCCCTTAAGCTTCATTGTTTTGTACCAATTTAAATAAATATGTATGAATTGATTTCATATTTTAATGTTTGCAAATAGCAAATTGTTGATTTAAATGCATCATACATAAGATTTCTAGGATTTTCCTCTTCATTTTCCTTTTTTTCATTAGTTATCAATCGATAATATTAATAGATTATTGAAATGGCTGTAAGAATCCCTAAAATGTACATACGAAAAGATATTTGAAATTACTTTTTTGACAATACACACTCAATTTACTTTTCGTATTTAAATATAATATAAAATAATATAGATTTATCAAAGAAATAAAAGACGAAATTAATTTCCTTTAATTTCTGATTGTCTGTTTTTATTTTTGTTTTTGTATTCTTTCGTATCAAATATGTTTCTTCCGTTATACATACGTATTACAATGTGTCATTGTTCGGGAACACGTATATAAACATTTATCACCTGCTGTTGTTAACATGGGATCATTTAAAAATGATCATAAAGTAGGCATAAAAAATAGATACTTTATCATATTTTTTTATCAATCTTCTTCTCATCTTATATAAAAACTTACTTTTCCTTTGGTACATACAGCACACAATAAGCATACAAATTAGTAGTAATTATTTCGGCTAGTTTCCAAATTAATCTTAATATGGAACAAATAAAAAACAAAACAAAATTTTGTAAAACTTGAAGTTAATTTTCAGATACCAATCAGTATTGTTGCCATTATATCATATCATTTTAACATATCTTTATATCTATCGATTTTTATCAATCTATTATAACTTCAATTAACTATTGAGGAGGAAAGGAAACATTTTTCTGTTTTCTATCAATACATTATTAATATATTAACACATGCATAAAAAAAAAGAAGAAGAAGAAAAGAAAGAGAAAAGAAAGTTATTTTTACTTTGTACATGATACATACATTCATACAGTAATGCAGTGTTCATTCTCTTCGTTTCTATGAATGGGTAGCGTCCTAATATGATAATATTAAATTTTTCTTTCTTAACGAATCAATCGAGTGTAATAACTATCGTTGCATGTTACTTTGGAAAAAATCAACTGGTTCGTTAACATGTATAGATATATACGAAGATATCTGTATTACACATTAGTAATGAACAGAAAACATGGTGACGATACTGAATAAATTGTTACTGCAATAGCGTGCTTCATTTAATGATTTTCTACCATTCTAGAGTATTGGAAAGTTATCAAAACAAACAATGGTATTTGCTTACATCTAAAAGTCCCATTTGTTTGTAACATCAGATACATAGGAAGAAAATGATCCATTTTAAAGATATCAGAATCAGAAAATTTCTTTAATACGACTATTACCGTTGAAAATTAAGGCTTTTCGCTTTTTCGAAAATTAATTATGGTATAGAAATTATTACGATGCATTTGTAATCTTAGTCAGCGTAACGATACTATTTACTGTCGTATTTTTGTTTAAATTACATTACTAACGATGTACTTTCGATGCAATCAAAGTTGTTTAGTTATTCACTGCTTATCATCGAATCTAAAATAGATTACCAAATCCAACGTAAGTTGCATACACCTCTAATTACTTCGGAAAAATATAAAAGATATCCGGCATGTAAAATGTATACGGCATGATAATAAATCAATGAAAATTTCTTAAACTTAAAGGATATTTAATGAATAGAAGAAATAAGTGAGGAAATGAGAGGTTTGTAACATCAGATACATAGGAAGAAAATGATCCATTTTAAAGATATCAGAATCAGAAAATTTCTTTAATACGACTATTACCGTTGAAAATTAAGGCTTTTCGCTTTTTCGAAAATTAATTATGGTATAGAAATTATTACGATGCATTTGTAATCTTAGTCAGCGTAACGATACTATTTACTGTCGTATTTTTGTTTAAATTACATTACTAACGATGTACTTTCGATGCAATCAAAGTTGTTTAGTTATTCACTGCTTATCATCGAATCTAAAATAGATTACCAAATCCAACGTAAGTTGCATACACCTCTAATTACTTCGGAAAAATATAAAAGATATCCGGCATGTAAAATGTATACGGCATGATAATAAATCAATGAAAATTTCTTAAACTTAAAGGATATTTAATGAATAGAAGAAATAAGTGAGGAAATGAGAGAGAGAGAGAGAGAGAGAGAGAGAGAGAGAGAGAGAGAGGAGAGAAAGAAAGAGAGAAAGAAGAAATGGGAAGATAGGTTTGATCATTAACAGCCGCATAAAATATGCAATGAACACATTACATCCATTCAAAAATCTATACAGTAACAATTAATATTAATATATTTGTCACGTTATTAATCGTTCAATATAAAAAAAAGAAGTTAAATAAGGCCAATAGATTTAAAAGCCGCATTATTCTAATTATCTGCAATATCACAGTACTTGCTGAAACATACAAACACACGTTTCCGATAGGCACAGGAGCCAATACCAATGATAATGGCAAGCACAATATTTTTCTTTCTATAAACATACTATATACGAGTATATATTGTCCAACCATCGGTCGTTTTCTTTTTTTTCTTTCGATTCGTAATCATTACATAATTTGTAATTATCACGTTTAGAAATTGATATGCCTTATCAAAAATTAATTTCATATTCTTCTTAAAAATTCGTACATATTTTTTTTCTTTTTTCCTTTTTTTTACCACACTTTATAGGAAATTTTAAGAATGATCGCGTCACATTATAATAATAAAAGTCTATAGAAATGTATCGTGTAAAAACATGACGAATGCCCACAAATTTGAATTTTACAATTACATATAATTCCATTCTCTACAATACTGCATAATCCCAACAGTTATCAATTAAGAAAAGTCTGCCCTTTCAAAAATAGCGATTCATTCAACGACTCTGCGATTATAACACAAGGGTAAGAAAAAGAAGAATAAAAGAGAGAAAAAGAAAAAAACAAGTTAGAAAACAAACGAGTATGATATGTTATTGAAACTAAGGAACAAACGCGAGGGTTTCCGTTTTATGTATGACCATTGTTCTTTTTCTCCTTCCCATGTAAAACATAGCATGGTGTGCGCATATACACACTGTACTTATATGTATGTGCGCGCACGCGTGTATGCATGCTCACTTGTCCACTTCAACCCAAACACACACGTACACACACTTTCTCACTCGCATACCCTCTGTCATACACAGACGCGCGTGCGCGTGCGCATTCACGATTTAACAAAGAATTTTATGATTCACATTATTCTAACTACTTGTCGATTCAGAAGAAACTTTTTCGGATAATATTTACAAACTCAGATTTTTCCCAAAAGAAAAAAAAAGAAGAAGAGATATATGAAAGATTGCGTTATTGTCGACTTGGCGGATACAAAAAGTTCTAAAGCTACTGTCATACGTAAACTGGACCTTGATTGTCATTATCGTCCAAACTTATTCGACTAGGATACGCAGGACCACCACCATCGTCAAAGAAGCGTCTAAAGGTGAATTCAAAGAAACCATGAAATGGTTTGCCATTATCTAGTAATTCGTCGGACTTGTTAGAATCGGACGATTCCGAATTCCGTAATTTATCGGGATCCACTGGATCAAAATTACTTGTATCGGTAGGATATTGTATTCGAGGTATGTGAGGAGCTACTTGCCGACGCAGTCCCTTTTCAAAGTCAATGCTCGCAAAAAATGGATGATTCTTTACTTCATCTGCATTCTTACCTAGCCGCCGATCTGCACCAACGCATAATTTTAGTATCAAATCCATACCTTCAGCGGATAGATTTGCTTGCTTCGGGATATGCAGAGTAGTTTCCCAATTGATCACCTGCAATATATGATATATCTCAAAGCTGCATTCAACATGCTATACCTGATGACAAAAAAGCAAGCAAATAAATATCACAACTACCTTGTATTGTGTCTCGGCTGGAGTATTAGCAAGAAAAGGTGGAGAACCAACTAACATTTCATATAAAATTACACCGACACTCCACCAATCGCACAACTGAGTATACCCTGTCCTTTGTAGTACCTCTGGTGCGATATAATTCGGTGTTCCAACCAAAGAATGGGCTAAACATCTTTGATGTTCTCTGTGTCTTCTACGTTCCAATGGTTTTAACTGGATGCAACGACATTCGTTATTCCAATCGTCGGCAGGATCCATCGAATCTTGTTTGCCGTGTCCTATTTCAACATGAATAACAACATTGATATAATTGTAACTATATATGTATACATAAAGACACAAAGACATATGCATATATTAGAATGTAAAAATAAATCAATTAATAGGGAGCATACCATTTTGTTGATAATATTTAGAGTTATGAGTCCAACGAAATCCTGTACATAAGCCAAAATCTGTTAATTTGATATGTCCATCTCGATCAATTAAAATATTGTCCGGTTTAATGTCTCTATGAATAAAACCCATTTTATGAACACTTTCTACCGCGCACGTTAGCTCAGCAATATAAAATCTTGCTAGAGGTTCCTTAAAAATGCCAAATTTGATCAGCAACGACATCAAGTCGCCACCAGGTATATAGTCCATTACAAAATATAAATTGTCCTTATCTTGAAAGGAATAATAGAGCTTCACAACCCATTCGTTATCAGCCTCTGCTAATATATCTCTTTCAGCTTTAACATGAGCAACTTGATTACGATTTAACACATCCGCTTTCCTTAGAGTCTTCATAGCATAAAATTGATTGGTATCGAGTTTCCTAACAAGCGTTACTTCGCCAAAAGCGCCAACTCCGATTGGTTTGATTTTCGTAAACATCGATTTATCCATTTTTGCCCGTTTCAATCTAATATAATTCGATTCCTTCTGTGACAACATTTTCCTCATTTGACATTGAGCTTCCGCGCTAAGACCTATTTTAGCCATTTCTGTTTCCAGTTGAAGCCGACGGTATAATCGTTGCTTGTGAGATTTTAATACATTTTCAACGTGTTGTTCCATGAAGAATTTAAACGCCTGCGGAGAATAATTACGGACTTTACAATCTCTGCGTTCCTCTTCTTTTTCTTTACTCATATGTTTGCGCTCCGGTATTGGAGACTGATGCTTGATTTTGTAAGACGAAGGCGATGAACCAGCACCTTTTGCTCCATTGCTGTCTGGTGAATGATTATTATTATTATTGTTGTTGTTGTTATTGCTGTTGCCACCACTACTGCTATTACTGTTGTTGTTACTGGTGTTACCATTGTTACCAACGTTGTTATTAGTTCTCAAAGAAATGGACGTGGATGTTACTGGAGGTAAAGGCGGCGCTTCTGCAGGATGTTGACATCCATCTGCCGGTGAATATTTTCTTTGTAACGGAGGATGTAATGCGACTGGAGAAGACCTTAGGGTCGTGTTATTATCTATCGTCGATATGCAGCTAGGATCATCGGTGGTAGCTGTTCCATAGGGAGGTGGAGGTACTGGGTGATGCATGCCTCGTTGTGCTGCTAATGCTTGCATCGTTGTCGCGTAGCTTGGCGGTTCTGTAGTAGGCACGCCTACCGAAACACCCAAGTTTATATTATTTGTCGATGTTGCACCAATTGTGCCACTGTTCAATGGTGGATACGCAGGTGGTGGTTGTTGTGACGATTGTTGCTGCTGTTGCTGCTGCGGCTGTTGCTGTTGCTGTTGCTGCTGTTGCGGCTGTGGTTGCTGTTGTTGCTTTTGTTGAATGGACGATGCGTACGATGGTGGAGGTGGAGGTGTGTTACTAGTAGTGGAAATCGGTTGTGGAGAAGTCGGTGCGATTGCAGTTTGTAATACAGGTTTTTGTACTTGTGTACTCTTAACAGATTGCATAATGATCGGTGGTTGTGTTTTCGCTTGTCGTGCACCCCAAGCTTGTAATGGAGTCGGTCTAGCCATCGATGCTTGTGTACTCGGAGATATAGCGGAAACGGTGATCGGACTTGGAGAACCGGCCGACGTTGGACCGGAATAGATACCAGAGGAAGGGCTTTTGCGATAATCTTGCTGAGACTGCGTAGGGCTTTGCCTGTTTTGTATAGAGGCACTATAAGATGGTGGTTGTACTGGACCAGCCGACGAAGAAGACACTATGGGATACGGCGGTGGTGGTTCGACTTGAGTATTAGTACTGTTATTGCTTGTTTGATAAATACTGAGAGCTTGCATTTGTTGAGAAAGTTGTTGCTGAACTTGCGGACCATTCTGAACGATCATGGGCTGACGACAATTAGAATTATTATTTGAACTCGCTACCGGACTTGTACCTCTTTGTGGTAGATTGACCGATGTTGAGATTGGTCCAGTATTACCAGGTGTAGTAGGAGGTGGCCGCGTTGGAACAACCGGAGCAGGAGACATTCTCTTAAGCATTTGCTGCATATTAGTAGGTACGTTTGGCTGATTATATGGAGCGTGAGGCGGTGGCGGCGGCGGTGGTGTAGAACTGCATCTAGGAGGTGGAGGAGGAGGTGGTTCTCGTTCTACAAAATTGCTCGGCGAATATTGTCGACTCAATTGCGGATGTGGGCTAAGTTCTGTCAAACGTGGACTATCGGATCGTGAACTTCCTGCTCCACTATCCAATGCGGGACTACCACGTTGTAAACTCAACTCTCTTTCCAAACTAGGTTTCCTTATTAATTTGCTGTTAAGTTTACCGAGACCGTTCAAAGATTCTCCCTGTGCCTGCTTTAAGAATTCTATAGCTGCATCTAGACGCCAACCAGCTAACTTCAACGCGCGCATTGCAATTTCCTGTACACATATATGGTATAATATAAAATTTTGCTATACAATGTCAACCACCAGCTAGTTTTTAATACACTTGTTGCTATAAACAGTATTTTTCTAATGTTTATAACGATACACGTACCTCTGAATATCCCATTGCTAAAAGCTGAGCTAGTAATTGTCGTTGATCAGATTTATCAATGGTAGAACCTGAAGCTGCAGAGAGACCACTAAGTCCTGAAGCAGAACTAATGCCACTGGTCGTTGATAAAGTAGATATAGTACTAGCAGCGCTGGAACCTACTTCGCCTGCTCCTCCGATATTCGCAAAAGGTAGCAAAGAATTGCGAATTTCAGCCAAAGCTTTTTGATGATATCCAGAGCCACGAGTGCTCGATTTGCTAACCGTGGGTGGATTCATAGTGGCCCATGCTAGGCCTTCTCAGACCTAGCTTTAATCCGGCTGTGACATATATATATATATATACATACATCTAAAACATAATACCGAGTTATTTTCTTACAATGTTGTAACATTGCTATAACATTTTGCTATCGTATTTATTGTACGATATCATTCTGAATGATTACATATTCCTTCTAAAAATATCAATTCCATCCAAAAATACTTGAAATTCTGAACACATAAATTGTTAACTATTTCATACTTGCAATGCTATCTAATCAAATCCATAGTTGATAGGTCACTTGTAATACATATAATATAAATTCCTTTATACCACATAATGCTTGTAAAACTGGTTAAATACAAATATATTTTAATATAGAGCTTTTGTGTTGTCATTAGAGTGCTATTACTATGCGTTACACAAAATACAAACAACAAATTGTGATTTGAAAAATACAATGTCCATTATTAAGTACACTTCTATTGAAATATTTCCAATTATATACACGATAAAATAATGTTAATAATAATAATCTGATAAATGTTAAAAGAATATGTTACAAGTTATAATAGATTTTAAATGCTTTCGGAATCACTTTACTCATTTTGTTCAGCATTCGTATGTAATATATTTTATTTGAAAATTTTGTTTCGGTCATTGAATGCAAACAGCTTCATGTGTAATGTTACAAACGACTTTTCATATCTTGGTAAGTACATAATGTTGAGATCCATCAAAAATCTAACCTATTCATTAGATGCGTGACGGATCACTCCAGAAAGTCCTCTGTACGTAAAATGGGCTACGGTAGCACACACTTTCTTCAGAAGACAGAAGGCATTGGCTACGAAATTTCTTGAAATAAGTTTAACTGAAACAGCAATCAGGAGAGAACGACTTCAGAGCATATTCTATTCTCACGTTTCCACAGAATCCATGTGACGAGGTTAACGTGCACATAGAACTTTTAATTCACTATTTTCCCTTAAAACTAATTCTGTGCTATTCCAATTTACAATCGTAATTACTTCAGCAACAACAAAGAAAGGTACAGCCGTAAATTACTAAAGTAACTGGCAGCCATTTTGAAGTGCCACATTCCTACACCGACTTGACACTCTTTTTCGTAATTTACGATATGCACTAAGTTCGTGCGCGAAAAAACAAATAGCTCTTTCTAATTAATACGTAATACGGTTAACGTTTATTACTTCTCTAAGAAAATGGCAGATGATTTTGGGAAAGTAATACTTTAAATACATCAATTATGCAAAATTTATTTAGCCTTTTACAACTATGTATCTCTTTCTCCTATAAATAAAAATGTCAATACATTATATTATTGCTTCTTTTCTCTAACTTAAGAATTATTTTCTACATTTTTAATCAACGTTTAAATCTATTTAAGGTCAGGGAAAAGAGAGAAAGAGAGGGTGGGAGGGCGAGGAAGAGTGTTAAAGTGCTGCTCTTAAAAAATCTTCACTTCTTTTCTTAAATATTCACCATACCCTTATTACTTTCGCAGTTTTAATAATTAGTTATGTGTAATATTCAAATGATAACAAAATCTGTGCAAACATATTATTATCATTTTTAATTTTATTTAAATATAATTATAACAATAATAATGTAATTATATCATTCTTGTTAAGTCCTGCGTCTATATACCTTAATTATTTGAACAGATGAATAGAAAATATCGAATTGACAAAATTAATTTGATTAATCTGATCATTTCTTTGTTATCATAATGCACAATGGTGCGCGCGCGCATACACTTGTGTTTGTATGTAAATGTTAAAATCAGTATGTATTGAAATTGAAAAGTATGAAATAAAATTGAATCTGAATGGCAAGGGGAGAATAAAATTAATATAAATTACTATCGTATTTAAATTTCATTATAACATAATTTTTTTAATTATTCATGTTTTCATAGATATTATCATTAAACCTTTTAAAGCAATAATATATAAGACATTTACATTGTAACTTGTTATTATTACAACTCACCACACAAATATAACATATATGTTATATAAAGTCAGATTAGAGTTGCATGAAATATTTTTTATCATTTTTACTTCGTATTTATTGCCTATTCCTCTTCTTATGATCTTTATGATTGTTATTGTTATGTTATTGTTCATTGTTATGTTGATAGAACAAACATCACATAAAACTTAAATTTTTTAGTGTTGCGTTAATTTTCTGATACCTGTTAAACAACAAAAATATGGAACATCGGATTGCATTTAACAACGATCATAATTTACAATAAAATTTAATCAATAATATTAACATTGAATTATTTACAGTTTCTGCGCTATGTGTGTACGCGCGTATGTGTAATGTTTTTTTCACTTACTTGGCTAATGGCCGCATTTTGACTATTTTTCATTGAATTAAGTCAAATTATAGTTGAATTATAATAAAATATTTACAATATTAATGTAACACACAAATGGGCCCACCTTCAGCAATGTTATTTTGTATTATGAAATAAAAGTGACATTATTCTAATTTATATTATATTTCATTTTCGTAATATATTACTAATATTGTTACTTTACTAATATTATTAATGGATATGGTATGCATTAATCGTCACACTTAATTAAATGTAAAAAGTTATGACATCGGTTTTATTACATATTCTCATATAATTATAAGGGAATCAATATTGTTATAATAGAAAACGTTATATATTTATAATTATATAAATGAAACAAATAACAATTAATTACATATGTATGCAAACCATAGACAATGATGTATACAACATTTTATAGTTTAGTTTTATGCTTAGACTTCGTTTAGCTTAAACTCCGTTAAATTTATACAGAGATTAATTCTCAGCTCAGATAGTCAACGTGGAATGCGTGCTTTTAATTTTAATTAATCATTTGATAGATATATCTTAGTAAATTGTAAGCACCCGTCATAGGACGCCGTAAAATATCATGAGGACATCGTGGGATGTATATTTAGATTTAATTAATTTAGCGATATATATATATATATAAAGCAGTTCTGAACTTTTCACTTTAAGTCAAACAATGTATCTTCGTAAAAAAGGCACGCACAATATACTTATATATATATATAATGTATATATAACTGTGCCTATATATAACTATATATAATATAAATATATATATATGTATGTTAACTGTTATATATATGTATATTGTGCGTAATTGTGTGTAAGTATATATATATATAAGTATATTTTTTTACGAAGATACGTTGTTTGACTTAAAGCGAAAAGTTCAAAACTGCTTTATCTAATATCAAATATTAGATTATGTATGAAATAGAACAGTCGATTTAACAAAATGTTTATAGTTTCAGTTTTTAAAAATTTCCCTCGAATTTAAAATCTTTGATACAAAAAGGTTGCCAATATAGGGTTACGATCTAATGTACTTCAGATTAGTATCTAATATCTATCTTTAGTATCTACAGGTATCTATCTTTAGTTCAGCTTTACTTTTAAGTAGGTTTCAGTTGTAAGATCTAGATTAAGTTAATTTTAAACCTCATTATTGTATAACAAGGGATAACGAGGAAGTTATTATTTATTTTAGTTTTAAATCTTAGTCTTAAGTCTTACTTTTAAATCGGGTCACAATGTTAATTTTAAGCCTTAGTTTGGACAGATCGATGTACTTGATTGATATATATTTATCCGCAGAAGCAAGCTTTTGGTGATCTTTTTGTTCCTTTCGTTGATCTTTTACTCTTTCCACTGGCCGTAATCTATCTGTTTGGGTTATCGATAAATTGTATTGCGAGTTTCTGAATCAGACTATCTATACTTGATAATATACATATAATTAATAACTTATTTGAGAATATAAAAATGAAAATAGAAAAGATTAAAAAATTTACATTTTTATGTTTCATGCGTATGAGACTACAATTTTATTTGAAACTAATTAAACGAATCGTCTAACTATGTGTAATGTACATGTGTAATATACGTAATGTGTGTACAGTATTTTATTATTTTGATAATGTGTCATGCTTTCTCAAATATTGTAAAAGTATAAAATTCTATACTTCGTTGTCGATTATGGGATATCGTGTTTTGCATATATTTTATTTAGAATTTCATACATGGTTCTAGTTTTAATTCTAACTGGTATTATACTATATCGGTAACATCGCATGTGACGCGAAAATGGTAACGGGGTCAAGTGACCTCCAAGACGTGGATCGCGAAAAAGCATCGCAAGTCACGTCTATTCTATTAGAACTATTCTATTAAGACGATTAAATCAATAGATATAAAAAAATATTGTCCTATTGTATTCATAAAACAGAAATATGTGTGTGTATGTCACTAATATATCCTTTGATAAAAATCATTGATTTAACATTTGTAAAAAGTATTGTTCATTATGCCAGTGAGGTAATAAAAATAGTTCAATTTGACAACACTTTGTTAAAACAAATATACAGATTATATTTCATGAGTCAACAAATGAATTGCGATACATTATTAACAATTTTTGTAAGCAAACTGATGTGGTTTAAATTGTGGTGATCTATACCTAGTAAGCGTTTATCTTTAGAATTTATATTCATTTCGTAAAATAATTGGTAGATGCTTTATGTACAAAATTATCGCATACAATAGTTACATTAAAGAACAAGTCCTTGATACGATAGACCATCCGTTTCTGGAGATTCCATTCTATTCCTTAAATGTTCTAATGTATTAGCTAAATGTTTTTGAATTTGTTCTGTTTCTTCACTAACTTCTAGGTTGGGGAGTTCTTCTTTAATCTTTGCGATCACTTGATTTACAATATCAACAGTGAACTGAAAATAAATAGCTATTAAGATATATACATTAATAAAAGCTCTCAAGAACATCAGTAATTCTTACCGTAGTATTGTCTTTCTCATAGAAATAAATGTAATGATTTAATAGTTCTACATACAATTGTACTTGAACTGAAGTATCCATGCACTGATTTGCAATTTTGATACCTTTTCTTAAACATTCTAATACCCTAGATTTATTTTGCATCTAAAATAATTGCGCAATTATATTTATTTGATTATATTTTTTAATAATACTATTAAATGCTACACATGTATAATCATATTTACATATTACTAAGAATATATATATATATATATATATAACACTCACCTCTTTTCCACCAGTTGCTAATGATTTTCCAGACCAGAATATATGAGAGCAAATAGCAATTCCTCTACATTGATCTGGTTTTCTTAATAATTTGCTAGCATATAAAACACATTGATTGCGTATTGGTTCTGCATTTTCTTCACAAAAACAACTCATTTGCTCAAATGTAGCAATGATCAATGTAATAGCTGCTAACTGCGCCTTAGAATCACTTATTTCATCTTCATATATTGAAAATGCTTGACTCATAAATTCATAAGCAACCATCTCAAAATTATCGAAACGAATTTCTCCTATTGCTATTGCACCCTGAAGAAATAATCTCAATGGCAGTTCGGCCAGTTCTGCCTTCATTAAAGCTGTAATAGTTGCATGACAGAATTGAAAGATTTTTTGACATTTTTTCTGCCACATTTCATCCTACAAAAACAGAAAACTAAGTTAATCATCTAATCTAAATGTTACAGCAAGTAAGTTAGTAATTTATTAACTTGATCCTTTAATCCCTTATATGTGAAAGCAAGTTGGTAAGCTTGAAATACAATTGGTGGTAGAGTATATTTTATTCTCTTATTTCCACCAGCACTAAAATGTTTTCTGGCTGCACTTAATATCATATATTGTTGATCAGCTGTCTCAGACTTAAAATGATGTATTAATCTACCAAGAAGACCCTGTTCTTCTGCAAAGTCTTCAGGATCTTCTTCTATATTGGGTTGATCTGGTTGGTCTTGTACCAATGGAGATACCATAGAAAGAACTGCATCTACTTGTTCTTGAGTTGGTATTAAAGTCTCATTTTCTAAAATGTTTGTTATTATATAAATAGCTAATAACTTTCTGCCTTCATAGTCAAAGTAATCTAGTAATGGAGCAAAATGCTCAAGCTTCAAAACAGTTAAGATGTTTTTATAGTTATCTATTGGAATTTTCATTAGTCTCACTAATTCTCTTGATACAGCA